TCTCAGCGTCCGCAAGAAGCGGCATACCTTCCTCACGCATTCATGAATCTTTATATTGTTTTAATCAGATTTATTCGGTAGTGAACCACTAGTAGAAATCTGCTACCATAGTTCTCTGTAGTTCGTCATTTGCTGCTAATTGATTTTGCTCAGCTTCCGGTCGATCTTTCAGAAGTATTTTCGAAAGAGAGCTTCGAAATGAACCTGTTTTTGTCTCTATGCGACAGAAATGAAGTTTTGAGCTTGACAGAAGTACAGACGGACACCGACTTGTGCATATTATCCTGTAAGGGCGATGGAAAAAATTTCCAGTTATTAAAATTTTACTTGACGCGCCTACGTAAATTGCACGCCACATGACAGCTTGGCGAACATCTAAAATCAGAAGTTGATTCGCTTGATCAACCTGGAAAGTTTCGCAGACGAGTGCGACGTGACCGGCATGCGTGTGAACGCATCTAAAACGAAAAGCCTAGTGCTTTCTCGTTCTCCTGCCGGCATGCGTGTGAACGCATCTAAAACGAAAAGCCTAGTGCTTTCTCGTTCTCCTGCCCGTTGCTCTCTTCGGATTAACGGAGAGGCAGTGGAGCTGTTGGAGAAGTTCAAGTTTCTTGAGGTCGTGTTTACTGGTGGCGGAAACTTTGAGGAAGAGATCGATCGGTGAATTGGAGTAGCCAGTGGCGTTCTGCATGAACTAGCCCGACCCGTTAGGACCGAAGCAGAGGTGGGTCTGAAGATTAAGCTCTCTACGTTCAAGTCTACCTTCCTCCCGATGCTGACCTGCGCTTACTGGTCGTGGGCCATGACTGAAACAACTGGCTTTCTGCGACGAATCGCTGGACTCACACCGTCTCGAGTACGGGAACGTATGTCCGGAGTACGGGAACGTATGTTCGAGAAAGTCCTGGTGTACAGCCGTTGCTTCTCCAGATTGAGAAGTCACAACTGCACTGGTTTGGTCTCGTCTTGCGAATGCGTCCAGAAAAAAAGGTGAAACTCCCAGTTTGCCCAATCGACGAAGCCAGCGTCTCCTGAACAGCCTAGGGCAAGTGTCCAGATGTCTTGCACGGTCTACGTTACACTAGAGTTATCTTCTGCTGACGCTCATAACGCTAGCACAGGATCGGACGGAAACGTTTCAGAAAGGATGTGCGGTCAACGAAAGTGGCGGCCATGTGTGTTTGGTGTTTGGATGCTGGCGATAAGCTTTGACGAACAATGAAACTATACTACAAATGAACTAGTTGTCTACTGTATACTGTAGCCGACTTCTCGTATACTGTAAATCACGCTTTGCTAGAGTAACTCGATGGCACGCGTGTACACTAAAGTAATCACCGGGGGCGAAAGATGATTGTATCTAAATAGCGTTCAATAATTAAACGTCGCCGGCGATTTAAGACAGCAATGCTCGAATGGCACGAATCGGTTACGTGGCCATCGCCATCACTTGTGGGATTAAACACGTCGCGCTTCAAGCGCGTTAAATTCATGATTCTCACTAATGTGAGACCTCATTTCACTGAGTATCATTATCAAGACGCTGCCTCATGACCAAACTGGTTGCAGAATCAACGAACCGGCTTTTCGTGAAAGTGAGTGAAACAAAGTTTAGTCGTTTTGTCAAGTGACGATGGCGGCAAACAGTGACTTCCGCCCGCAACGATGACTTGGCAATCGTCATCGACTGCTGTCGTTGAACAATGTCCCCTCTGCCACCGGACACCGGTTACCAGATCGTCGTTCACAAAGGGACGAAACGTTGTGAGCCGATGCTAGTGACCGGTCAAGCCATCCAGCCACTGGTCATTTATGCGTTCCCGTATGACGGAAAGATAAATCGCTGCCTTTTTCATCGTTGTCATCGTCAATTTGTCACGCCGCATGGTCATCGTTCCGATTGTTGTTGGTCACCAGCCAGCCGCC